TACAACAAACAACCACCATGCCAGAGCACTCACCAGATTGCAAGACTCTCACCAGACCAGAACGATACGTCACTCCCGCACCACTCATCAACCCAACCGCACCCATCCGAACAACCGGCTTCTCAAACTCTTTTCCACCTCAGCAATCAAACCATCCTCCCTGGTACTCCCCATGGTCACTCTACGTCAGGCTCATCACCCTGCCCATCCCCTCCTTCTTCCTCAGCGCAATCGGAATACACCAATCAAACGCACAGCAGGCCTGGAGGGAGAAGGTCGCACTCTGCTCCATCGCCCTCCTCGCCGCACTCTTCACCGGATTCGTCACCGTCGGAATGAACCGTGCTCTCTGTCCGCTCACCCAGAAGGACTCCCCCGGCTCGATGATCCCCTTCGACTCCCATCTCCCCATCCTAGGCATCAGAGGCTGGGCCTTCAACGTCTCCAAATCCAATAACCCCCCCGGAAGCCCAATCAACTTCCAATCCATCTCTCAAGCACACTCCGGCCTAGACATCTCAACCCTCTTCGATCAGTCTCATCTACCACCTAGCCCTTCCTGCCAAGCACCTGAACTACTAGGCCCATTTGCTCACTCTAACCTCTGCTACGACCCTCTCTCAAAATCCCCAGCCTGTCTCCTACCCGCACTAGACCAACCCACCCTCGACAGATTCCCAGCTCATCAATGCCAGCGTCCCAGTCGGCTATACCTGGGACCATGTCGCCAATCTCGATGGATATATGGTCATCAACGGCATCGTCCTCAACCTGCAACCCTATCTAGCCTCCAACCCACATCCGATCGAACAAGATCCAGTCGACCAGGCCATCCGGCACATGCTCCAAGCCAATCTCACCTCGATGGGCAAGGATGCCACCCGACTGTTCTCGTACAGTAACGACTTACATCGGGCCATACCCTGTCTGATCTCCCGTTTCAGGGCCGGCTCAATCGACAAGATCACCCCCGGATGCTTCGTCTCCCAGCTCTTCCTCTACGTCTCTCTCATCGTCATCCTCGGCGTCGTCCTCGTCCGCTTCCTCATGGCCATCTTCTTCAGCTGGTTCCTCAGCGACCGACTCATCAGACCCCCTCGCAACCTCAGGCGCAAAGTCATCAGTCCTGCCGTCCTCCCCGAAGGCGCTAACCTCAGCATCACCAACAAGAACGGCGCAGCTCCCTGGGCTAATCATCTCAATAACAACAACAACTCCCCACAAAACTCGCCCACTCGCCCCTCGAATCTCAAACTATTCGGAGCTGCAATCTCAGAGAAATCTAGTCTCCTAGATCCCAACTCAGCCCAACGCAATCGCAAACAACAACAACAACAACAACAAAAGGCAGCATTAGATTCACAAGGATTGATCAACATGGCCGCCATTGGTGCCGAACTATTTTGTGTCTGTCTGGTGACCTGTTATTCGGAAGGAGCCGAAGGGATCAAGAAGACCCTCGACAGTATCTCAGCAGCCGACTATTCGGATGCACGCAAACTGCTCTTTGTCGTCTGTGATGGGATGATCACCGGGCACGGAGAGAAAATCTCGACGCCTGATGTCTGTGTCGGCTTCTTGGACGCCGACCCTCTCTTCGGTGATCCCATGCCCATGAGTTACAGGGCCGTTGCTGCCGGCGCTAAGGAACATAATCAAGCCATGGTCTATGCCGGTCATTATAGTCAGTCTTTTTTTTTTTGGAAACTGTCATATTTGTCAATATAAGTATTAACACTTAGGAATGAATATACAGCTCAAGTTGAAGGTAGACGGACACCAATGATAGTGATCGTTAAATGTGGAACAGCAGAAGAAGGAAAGATAGAGAAGAAGCCAGGCAACCGAGGAAAACGAGATTCGCAGATGATCCTGATGAATTTTTTCTCGAGGGTGACCTATAACGACCGAATGTCGCCGTTAGACTACGATTTGTTTAGGAAGATCCAAGTTCTGATGGGAGTGACGCCGGATTTTTTCGAGGTTTGTTTGATGGTGGATGCGGATACGACGGTGATGAAAGATTCGATTGGCCATCTAGTGAATTGCATGCAACATGACCCGTTGATCATGGGAGTATGTGGGGAGACACGGATCACGAACAAGCGACAATCCTGGGTGACGGCGATCCAAGTGTTTGAGTACTACATCTCGCACCATCTCGCGAAGGCGTTCGAGTCGGTATTTGGCGGGGTGACCTGTTTGCCGGGCTGTTTCTCGATGTATCGGCTCAAGGCGCGACGGATGAACGACGGGGATTGGGTGCCCATCCTTGCCCAGCCCGAGATCTGTCGCGAATACTCCCAGTCTATCGTCACCACTCTTCATCAGAAAAACTTGCTCCTCCTAGGAGAGGACCGCTTCCTGACTACCCTCATGATCCGTACCTTCCCCGCCCGAAAGATGATGTTCTGTCCTCAGGCTAAATGTCGCACCCTCGTCCCAGACGAATTCGCCGTCCTGGTCTCCCAACGCAGACGCTGGATTAACTCGACCATCCATAACTTGATGGAACTAGTCAGAGTACCTAATCTCTGTGGAACCTTCTGTTTCTCGATGCAATTCGTCGTCTTTATGGAGCTCATGGGCACCATCGTCTTGCCCATCGCCATCACCCTCACTTACTCGCTCATCATCAACTCCATCCTCCATCCGCCTAAAAACTTCTCCGACGCTATCCCGCTCATCCTCCTCGCCGCGATCCTCGGCTTGCCCGCTATCCTCATCCTGGCTACCTCGAGAAAGGTCTCTTATGTGTTTTGGATGCTCATCTATCTGATCGCTCTTCCTGTCTGGAACTTCGTCCTGCCTCTCTATGCTTTCTGGCATTGTCAGTTCTCTCTTCTCCTCTCCTCTCTTCTCGCACTCTTGATATATCGTACTAACCTTACTTTGGATGGGATGTTCAATATCCAGTTGATGATTTCTCGTGGGGTGAGACGAGAAAGATTCAAGGCGAGGCGAAAAGTCAAGGCCATGATGAGGGATCCAAGACGACGTTCGATGCGAATACGATCCCACATCGAAGATGGGAAGATTGGGAAAGGTAAGCACGCCAATCTATCTGTCTTGAAAAGAGAAAAGCTCAAGACTGAATTAATTGTTTTGTGAAGGTCACGGTTGAAGAAGATGAAGCGAGAGGAACGACGACGACGAGAGTTTGAGCGAACGTTTGGGACCCAACAGTACCATCTGTCGACGATTGGCGGGAGCGAGTATGGGGGGGACACGGTGTCGATGGTGTCCTCGGAAGATGACCGGTGGGGTCTGGCGATTGGGAACTACGATTCGACGGAGGTTGCCCGGCCCCCGGTGGGCTTGTATCCGGTCGACGACATCCTCTCGAGCGTCGATGGCTCGACGGCCTCGACGCTCAATGGCGACGAGCTCGGCGCGATCCTCGATCAGGGCTGGAACGACGATCTCCCCTTCGTCGAACCCAAGTTCCCCTCCCCTTCCAAACAGACCTTGGTCCCCCCACCCTCCTCATCTCGTCTCTCTCCCGTCGCCGGCGGATTCATCTCCGACCATCATCATCATCATCATCATCCGTACCTTCATCATCATCAACAACAACATCATCAACCTAATGCTTCTGCTACTTTTAATCATCCCCATTTCAACCATCCGCCCTCTAATCCTTACTCCTCTCAACAACTGCCCACCTCTTCTTCCTCCTCCTCCTCCACCTTCCTCATCCGCGACTCCCCGAATCCTAACTCGAATCCGAACCCCATCATCGGCTCGTCGAGATCCACTTCTCCCGTCAATGCGTTCGACCCTAAGCCCCCTCAACGCTATCGACTCGAAGAACTCCTGACTTCCCTTCTCCCGAAACCCCTTTCCCTCTCCTCCCTCAATTTTTGCTCTTCCAGTCTTCTTCCCCCCCCCCCCCTTTCCTTTTTTTTAGGAATTACTTGCTCGCTTTTACTTGCCCTTTTTTTCGTCCTTTTGTTTCCTCCTCTCTCTCTCTCTCTCTCTCTCTTCTAAAACGATAACAATTCCTGGACATTGTTGTGGATCTGTTTTTTTTTTTTTTTTTTTTTTTTTTTTTCTGGGGCCTGTTCTTGTTTATTTCTGTCAGGTTTTTGGGGGCTCGTCCCATGGGTTGTTGAGTTTTTTGTTTAGGATTCAACTGCCCTCTCTCAACGTGTGGAGTGTTTTGTTTTGTTTGGGTTGGTGGGAAGTTGTGCTGCTTATATATATACATATCTACACGCTGTGATATATATACATACATATATATATATCTAAATTAATCAATGCTCCTTATATCAATTTCATTTCCGTTTTTTTGTGTGTGTTTCCGCTTTCACAATCAATCCTATCTGTGCGTAAACGTTGTTATCCTTCATTGTGTGTGTGTTTTTTTTTTGGTTCTGTTGTTGTTATCATTCCTCCTCCATCATCACTGTCCAAGACCATTCATCCTTTCTGTCTTCCAGCCACTGCTGCGCTTGCTGATCCACCCAGCCCAATGATCACTCTCTCTTCCTCTCTCTCTTCCTCTTTTTTTTTGTACGTTTTTTGGTTATAATACACAGACACACTCTCTTTCTCTCTTTCTCTCTTTCTCTCTTTCTCTCTTTCTCTCTTTCTCTCTTTCTCTCTTTCTCTCTTTCTCTCTTTCTCTCTTTCTCTCTTTCTCTCTTTCTCTCTCTCTCTCTCTCTCTCACTCCTTATAATCTCCTTTTTGTGTGGTTGCCCATGGTGCTCACACAGGCCAATGAATAAAAGACCCCGTCTTACCTCAAATATACTTAATCCATCAACCCGTCATCCAAAACCTCCTTATAGATCAACAAACATTTCTTTCTTTCTTTCATATTTATATATATGATCATCTGACATGTCGTGGAAATTGCGATCCAGCTTAATAATAATAGCGGCGGTCATCCTCTTCTGTCCTTGTCCTGGATCAATCCCTAATCAACTTACACACACAGACACACATCTTGTTTTTTTTGGTATTATATATCCATCCATCCATCCATCCATTTTTTTTTTACAATATTCTATAAGTTGCATTTTTTTTTTCTTTGTCTACATCACAAATACGTAACATATAATTGTGAATATCAATGAGTAATATCACTTTCAACACTACCTCATATCCAGTACTGGATATGGAGTAAAAAAAACTGGATAAGAGGTGAACAAAAAAAAGTATAAAAATACTACATATCCAGGTTTATTTTACTGCACATCCAGTGCGGGATATGAAGTTATGTTTTGAGTGAATGTGGTTCTTTGAGAGAGAGAGGAAGAAAAGGCAGCATGAGATTGTTTTTTTTTGTGATTGGATTGAGGTGTCTGGAATAGTGGTGAAAGCATCCAGTAGCATATACAGCTATTTCAGAAAGGGTTGTCCAGTTGTCTCGCTTTTTTTTTTTTTTGAAAATTTTTAAATTTTTCTTTGTACTGAACTACAGCCAAGGAGGTACAGCTGTCATCAGTAGTTCAGTTCTGACAGGTCCAGTTCAGTAAAAAAATGAAAAAAATAAATAAAAAATAAAAAAGAATTTGCAAGTCCAAGTGGACAACCCTTTCCGAAATAGCTGTACATAACCCGCCCTCCCCTTTTGGTGAGATGAGTCCTTCTGTACTGTTAGCTTAAATTGTTATGGTTGATCAATCAATCAGAGAGAGGAACACAAATCAATCCAAGTTCCTTTTTGTTGTTGTTGTTGTTGTTGTTTGTCTTCTTGTTCTTTGGCCACAAAGAGCCCGCTGGGCCTGATGGCAGTGTCTACTAGAGACATCTATGTAGTCCACTTGCCAAAGAGCGTATACTAAGGCTTACATGTCCCCCTTTGACTGATCCTTATGGAATATGAAGTGTACTACTACTAGAATCACAAGGGTTTTTGAGAACCTTGCAAGGGATGATATTTTATTTCTATGTAGCTGGGCAAAAAGGAGAACAAATTCCAATCTCTCTGTATTAGTTTACTATCAGTACAATATACAATATCACCAGCAGAAAGAAAGGAAGAGAAGAAATGAAATGAAAGCTGAAATTAAAATGATAGAAGGAAAAAAAGACAAAGTGATAAGAGGTGAAATGATTGGCTTACCTAGGTGATCAAAATCAATAACCAGAAGTCCAGTCTCTGTTGAGCAAGGTGAGGGGGGGGCGCTTTGAGTTGAAGTAGCCAGTGGATGAAGTGACTATGAAATTTGATGTGAAACCAGTGCAATGGGGCTTCACAAAGAGTCCCACAGAACTCATATTCTTTCTACCCATTATCTCATCCACTGAAAAAAAAACATGTGGAGAGTCTGCAGT